ACTTTTTCTTTTTTTTTAGCCATCTTGACCTGATTGGGTTTCAGAAGAGAAGGGCTATTAAGAGCCACACACTTGTGGACACAGTCACTTAGACTGGAAAAGTTGGCTTGCCGGAGGTAACACCTTGTGCCAATTCTCTCTATGGCAGGAGTGAGAGCAGCAAGTGGGCAGCTGTGTTCCGCCTGGCACCTCCATTCTCTGTGCTCCCTTTGCAAAAGACAGTCAGGGCCGATTCTACAAAGGTCTGCTTCTGAGAACACCCCACCCACAATGCAGTGGTCTCATCCAAGATTTCCATCGAAATAGCAGTGGTTAATGGCAAAGATGTGTGAGAATGTGGGGTGACATCGATTTTGTCTAGGAAATGCTTCATTAGGAAAAAATATATATCTGGAGTCCTGTCTAAACATTTTGTCAGAACTTGTTTCCACTCGAAGGCATTTGGCACACTTACCGACAAAAGTGTAACCTTCCACAGTCCTGATAAGGACACTCACGAGAGGTTTTCTTTGTGTAGTTCAATCAGCACAGAGAAAGAAACTTTGAAATGACTCAAAAATAGTCTCGGCAGCTTCTAAAAAAAATTAGATCCTTGAGCAGTGAGTTCAAACCAAAAAGCTGAATTATATCTAGATATTCCCAGGCATGGTCATGACTTGTAGACATGAAATGTACACTTGGGCTTCTGGTGAGGAAGGACAGGAAGAACCTTGAATCTAACATATCAGTTTATAGGCATGGAAGGGAAGCAGATATTTTCATCCTTTTCATCTGTTATTTTAGTTGTGTATTTACTCATTGCATGTTAAAAATCACATATATGCACACATAAAGTCATTTACATTTCATTTTTAAAGAAATCATTGCTATTACAACTCAATATATTTCATCCACTTTTAATTAACAGCACCATCACTTTATTCATTGAGTAAAAAAAAAATGAGAACTTAAGAAATGAAGCACAAATACTTCATTAGACTTTTATCTGCAGATTATCATTGCATTTTCTCCCTAGCTAACACTTGCATTACATATCTTATGGGCTGGAGCGATAGCACAGCGGGTAGGGTGCTTGCCTTGCACGCAGCCAACCTGGGCCAACCCGGGTTCGATTCCTCCGCCCCTCTCGGAGAACCCTGTAAGCTACCGAGAGTATCGCGCCTGCATGGCAAGCTAACCATGACATATTTGATATGCCAAAAAACAGTAACAAGTCTCACAATGGAGACGTTACTGTTGCCTGCTCGAGCAAATCGATGAACAATGGGAGGACAGTGCTACAGTGCTACCATGCTAGAAAAGAATTTATTTGATTTGTTGTGTTCATAGCGTTATCATAAATAGCAATCAAGTGTCTAAAAAGCCATTGTTGCTGAACTTATAGAGTTTATCATTAAGACAATGTAAATATGTAAAGAAAATTTGAAGGGCAAAGTCATTGGGAGGACTGAAATTAGACTGATATGAAAAAGCTGCTTTCTCCCACACAATACTCCAATTAAGGTATACCTGTTCTTTTCATCTGAAAATATAATTTCATTTAGAAATGCTAATTTGAAAGTAAAAGAGGATAACATAATATTTTAGAAAATGTAATAGCCTTATACAAATGAAAGTGAGTAGTAGGAAGAGGAGATTCCCCTGTCTCCTCTGTCCAAGAAATTCAAATGGACTCAGGAACATTTGAAAGTTGAAAGGTGGAGATGAGAAATGACAGGTGGAATCCTCTGTCATTTCCTGTGGCTCGAACAGGAGCCACAGAACAGGACACAACACTCCCAATTTGTACACTCCCAAATCTTGAGCCTTCAGATGCCCAAAGTGCTCTCCCTTGAGTGTTTAATGGGAGAGTGAAAATGAAATCTTAGGAACAACTGAAAAAGAATACAAAAATCAAACTTTGTCCCTTTGTATATTGAAGTTTTGTTTTAAATCCTAAGGCTTTAAAATCTTTATCGATGTATCTAGAAACTAAGAAAGCCATCACCATACAGCCTGGTGACAGTTGTTTTTGAATCATAGTAGCAAGATTAAGTCATGAGTTATCCCAACTGCGTCAGAAGACTGAAAGCATGTGGTTTTCGGTGCTTTTTTCCCCCGCCTCATAATCCCAGAAAAACAATGTACAACCCAGAGAAGTGTTATTTCCTTACCAAGAACTTTGGGATAAAATATTATCATCAAGAATGTTGGCTAAGAGAATATTTACAGGATTTGGGAAATCATTGAAAACTTCAGGCTCTTACACACCTTCCACCCTCCCTGGCCCTTGACTTCATTCTTATTTCTGAGACAAAGCACAGGACTTTTTTTTTAAAAAATTCATATAGCATTTGATTTGATCTCAATATGTTAAATGAAGAATTGGGTCAAGAAAGGATTTAGCACTTACATGATTGAAGAGTGATGGGGCTGGCGAGTTTTTGCTGATTTGATATGATTATACCGTCATCTGTTATTTACTCATGGAGCCAAGGTAGAGTTCAATCGAGCAATTCAATTTCCCCAAATCATCAAATTAAAATTGTCTTGGAAAAAGAGGAGCTAATAACTCCTGGGTTTTCTACAGAAGTAAAGCTCTTCCCCCACCCTCTATAACAGGGAGGGAATGTTTTCACCAAGTGCCAACAAGAGTAGTAACTTCTTGAGCCATTCTTTGACTAGGTTATTTTCCACAGCTGAAAAAAATCATTTTAGTAGAAATCTTGCTTGAAGGATCAAATTATATAGTGTTAAGAAAAGAGGACTACTGGGGGGAGGAAGGTTGATTTCTTAGACATTGTCCTGGAGCTTTGTACCAAAAGAAGTCCCAAGCTGAACCCCCTGTAATTTTCTATGCCACCAATATGGGGACGGCAGTCTTTGTATGAAACAACCGTGGCAGGTGGTGACTACGGAACTCAACTATTTTAAGTGGATTCAGGAGAGTCAAGTACTGAAAAGTTAAAGCTGACTTTCTTCCTCTTCTTCCAGACTGGACTAACAGCTAACCTTTGAGGCAGGCCAGTACAAAACAAAAGGAGGACGTTTGAGAGAACTTCCACTGTGGTCAGCTTTGCCATAACAGATGGATGAGAATACTCACTCATGTCCTTGAATTCCTGGGAAACATTGGCCAGTCTTGACAAGCCCTTTCTAAAAGTGAAGCTGCTTCTCTTGTCACCTGATATTCTGATAGCACCCCTGGCCAGCTTCCTGGGACACCAGCATTGCAAAGGAGGGTGATCTTGCAAGACACATGTGCTTTCAGTCTGCTGACGTGGGCTGATGAAATCTGTGGACCAGTTTCTGCCATCCCAAGAAATGATGACGTCGAAAGTATTTTTAAATGACTCCAGGTCTATAAAAAAAGTGATGATGCCTATATGTGTACCCTATATATTTTATTACAAAAATATTGAAATAATCCATGAGTTATTCCACTCTGCACCAACTATAAAAAAATACTATCAAAGTTTGACCGGCACTTTTAATGCAACAAAAAGCACCATGACCCAGGACACAGGAAACAGAAAGGACCTTTACTGACTGTACGGAGGTATTTATATAACCCAGAAGCTTGTTGTAAGAGTGCGACTTTACAAATGATTCACATACAAATCTTAGCTGGATCTAGGGATAAGCCCTCAATCAGTTCAGAAGGTTTTTTTTTTTTTTCATATCATATTCATTGCATGTATCTGATCATCCTTACTAAATAGTGTCCCAATATCTCTAAGATATACGTCGCTTTCACCTAGTGTTTGTGGGTGGGGGTGGGGTGGGACATCTCTACCCAGCGGAGAACTTGAGTATTCGTTCTCATGCCTGTTTTTGGGGGGAGACTGAGCCGCTAATGCTCCTTTGCTTGGGGCTGTCGGTCCTGGGATTGCACGGTGTTTGGCACTAGAAAGGTGTGGCAGGGCGTGGTATGGCATCATCTGTACCTGCAAGTGTGGAGACAGGACTCGCCTCCTGGACCGTCCAGTGATACCCCGTATCTCTCCCATGCCTGCCTTTTGGTTCCAAGTGAATGCACAGGCTGGGAATTCAACGCTAATGCTCCTTCTCCCGCTCCCCCCACCCCCACTTCCTCTCTGTGTACACAGGATGAATTTTTATTTTTTTTTGCAATGGAATACTGAATCACGATCATTGTCTACTTGACATCACTAAGATAGCGAGTTTCTTGGTCTTGTGGAAAGCCAAACTTGTGCTGCATAGCATTTCTGTCATAAAGGATGTTCTCAACTTAAAATGGAAACGAAAACCAAATCATCCCGAAATGTGTCGAGAAACGAACCAGTCCATTGATTCTAAACACACTTGTAAACACACTTGAGTTTTGCTGTCCATCGGATAAGCTTTCAACACCTGGGCTGGGACTCCAGATTAGGAAGTGACTTTTGAGTTCTTTTCCAAGCAGGACTCTCTCTATATGTATATATATATATATATACTTTTTTTCTGGAGTCACTGGAGGGAGAGATTTGCTTGCTCTTTCTCTCTCCCTCTCTCTCTGTTCGCTTTCATTTTCCTGTGGGAATCGGAGCTTTGCACGACGAAAAAAATCACCTAAGCTATTCTGACGGAGGACTGAGATGTGTGCGTGTGTGCGTGCGTGTGCGCGTGTGCATGTGCGTGCGTGAATATCTTTTGATGCAGAGATGCCCAGTCAACTCCATCAGAACACCCTATCGAGTGGAGGCAACATTTTCTACGGCAACGGGACCCTCCTGTGGATGAGTGGAGAGACCCTCCCGCCCCCTTTCCCCAGGAGGGCCTGGTGGCAACAGCAGTCTCCCCACGAGGCTGGCACACGATGCCCTTCCAGGGGGCGGGCGGTGCTGAGACTGGCTAGCGGTCCTCACTCCACAGCACCCCTGGGCGCCTGGGCACTCTGCCGCCGCCGAGGCCCTGTCCAGCCAGGGTGGGAGCGGCGGCCTGCGCCTAGGCCTCCTCCCCTCCCCACGCCACGCCACGCCACGCCACCGCATCCCCCGCGCGCGCCCGGGGCTGGCTCAGAGCGTGGTCTCGTACTCCAAGCGCTCCTGGAGGAGGGCGTCGTCCTTGTACTGCAGCCGGGGCGGGGACGGGGAGCAGTCGAAGGCCAGGATGGCCTTGCGCAGGCTCCGGTCCAGCACGTGGCGCTCCCACGCCGGGTAGCGGTTCCTGCAGAGGTCGATCTTGATCACCGACTCCTCGAGGCGCGGCGCGCGCGCCGAGGAGGGCGTGGACGGGGCCGGGGGCCGCACCTGGAAGACGGGCACGCAGCCGTCGCGCTCGGCGAACTTCTGGTCGCGCTCGCCGGCCCCGCCGCGGCCGGTGGACCTCAGGGTGCCGCTGCCGGGCGCGTCGGGGGCCAGCGCGAAGGCGTGGGCGTGCGCGTGGGCGCCGGCGCTGGCGGCCGGGTCCTCGCCGGCGCCGCCGGGCGCCTGCCCGAAGCGCGGCCCGTTGGGGTGGAAGAAGGCGTAGTACATGAGCATGAAGACCACCCCGGTGAGGAAGCTGCTGAAGACCACGCAGAGCGCGGGCACGGCGAAGGCGTCGGCGATCTGCGGCGACTTGTAGAGGTACCAGAGCGCGCTCAGCGCCGCGTTCTCCAGCAGGACCACCAGGTAGTAGGCGAAGAGGCGGCAGCGCGTCCGGCCCTCCTTGACGTTGAACCAGCTGAAGATGTAGATGATGCCCACCACCATGTCGAAGACGATCTCCTCCCACTTGGTGATGCAGAACTCCGTCTCGCAGTGCACGATCCAGAAGGTCATGACGCACCAGTGCAGCACGATGAAGATGCCGAAGTAGAGCTGGAAGACGGACGCGAAGAGCGCGAAGGTGATGACGCGCGCCGCGATGGTGAAGAAGTGCCAGCAGAACTGGATCAGCATCGCCAGGTAGCCCACGGGCTGCTTGTCGTCGCGCGAGTCCCGCAGCGCCTTCTGGTACGAGGCCAGCGCCCACGCCAGCGACACCAGGGACGCGGCCGCCGTGAAGCCTGCAGCGGGCGAGGGGAGGGAAGACACAGGGGCTTAGTGGAGGGAGGGAGGCGGGGGCGGCGCGGCGGGGCGGGTCCAGCGGTCCAGCGGGTGTGGGGCCAGCGGCCCGGCCCGGCCCGGAGCCTGGCAGAGCGCTGGCCAAGGCAGAGCTCACGCTAAGCCGGCCAGGCTCGCTCCCTCCCTCCCTTCCTTCCTTCCTTCCTTCCTTCCTTCCTTCCTTCCTTCCTTCCTTCCTTCCTTCCTTCCTTCCTTCCTTCCTTCCTCCCTCCCTCCCTCCCTCCCTCCCTCTTTGGGTCACAGCCCAGCCAGGCTCTCTCCTTCCTTCCTTCCTTCCTTCCTTCCTTCCTTCCTTCCTTCCTTCCTTCCTCCCTCCTTTCCGTCCTTCCTTCCTTCCTTCCTTGCTCTTTGAGTCACCGCCCCCCATGCACAGCCAGGTTATCAGGCTCTCTCTTCTTCCTTCCTTCCTTCCTTCCTTCCTTCCTTCCTTCCTTCCTTCCTTCCTTCCTCCCTCTCTCCCTCCCTCCCTCCTTTCCGTCCTTCCTTCCTTCCTTCCTTCCTTGCTCTTTGAGTCACCCCCCCCATGCACAGCCAGGCTCTCAGGCTCTCTCTTCTTCCTTCCTTCCTTCCTTCCTTCCTTCCTTCCTTCCTTCCTTCCTTCCTTCCTTCCTTCCTTCCTTCCTTCCTCCCTCCGACCCTCCCTCTTTGGGTCACAGCCCAGCCAGGCTCTCTCCTTCCTTCCTTCCTTCCTTCCTTCCTTCCTTCCTTCCTTCCTTCCTTCCTTCCTTCCTTCCTTCCTCCCTCCCTCCCTCCCTCCCTCCCTCCCTCCCTCCCTCTCTCCTTCCCTCCCTCTTTGGGTCACAGCCCAGCCAGGCTCTCTCCTTCCTGTTGGCAGTGTTTCTCGTGATACCTGGTATGTAGTTTGTTTTAAACTTACCAGGTACTCTGATAGTTTTTTCTTTCTTACTACCTTTACCTGATATGTAGTTTGTTTTAAAGTTACTGGATACTCTGGTTGCTTTTCCTCTCCCGACAGCCTTTACCTTAGAAGGACCGTCTCTGTCACTGGTTCTCACTCCTTCATAAGAGAGACTGTAGCAATCACTTCTCAACCAGTTCCCTAACCATTTTCGGAAACCCATTTTGTTAGTATTCTTGCAACATTCGTGTCTCCAATTTTCAACATTGCATGGATTGCTTTCCTGCACTCTGACTCCAGGAGTGTACTTGAAGCACCATCTCCTCCGCCCATACGAGGACATGGGCCTTTGGGGAGGGATTTGGGGACCCACTTTGTGCTGATCAGCTTAATAAGCTGCAACAGAATTCACTCACCGAGATGAAGAATGATCTTATGAGTTTTAAAATTGCGGTTCTTTTCTTGACCAGATTTATTACTAATCATAACAATGTTGTAATCTTTCTCTCCTCTGGAGTAATGGAAGGGGGGAGGCCAAGAATGTGAACTTTTAATTTTTTTCTTCTTGGGTCACATCTGGTGATGCACAGGGGTTACTCCTGGCTCTGCACTTAGGAATTACTCCTGGCAGTGTTCAAGGGACCATATGGGATGCTGGGAATCGAACCCGGGTCGGCTGTGTGCAAGGCAGATGTCCTACCCATTGTGCTATTGCTCCAGCCCCAGGATGTGAACTTTCAAAAAATTATAAAGAAAATTAATATAAGAAAAGAATCTTGGGTTTTTTCAAACTCTCTTCAATACATATCTCTCTTTCTCTCCCCTCACATTTACCAAAATTTCTTTAAATTAAAATTAGTATGCAAAAAGTAAATGAAATTGATTTTGAATTCATACTAATTCATACTAAAGAAAACCATTTAACTTAAATGATAACCTCTTACACACTTCCTCAATTAAAACAAAATCTAGAAATGATTAATAAAGAAAATGCTTTCCAATTAGTTTCTTATAACCACTCCCAATAAAACCAGCAAAATGCCCCCTCTTACATGGAACCTTCAGCTTTACTTATACCAGATACCAAAAATCAAACAAACAAACAAACAAATCACTTATGCCATAATTCCTAGGCAATTCTGACAATATTTCTATTACCCCTGTTATTTGTCGATTGCCTTGAGCAGGCCCCAGTAACGTCTCTTTCATCCTAGCCCTGAGATTATATTCAAGGCTCTTTAGGAGAATGAGACCCATCATTGTTACTGGTATTTGGCATATTGGGTACGCCACGGGGAGTTTGCCAGACTCTGCCCTGTGGGCAGGCTACATTCGATAGCCTGCAAGTTTGTCCAAAGTAGGAATGAGATAATAAGATGTCATAAAAAGATGTCCTGATAAGATGTCGCGCGGCAGAGTCTACATCTATGTAAATGTCTATTACCCCAAAATATTTCTATTCCCAGAACGATATTCTGCAGATCAGTTTGCAAAGGAGTTTAGAATAATTTAACTTCAATGCAAGAAATTATACTATAAGGAAAATTCAGGGGTGAAAGAGAAAAGGTGGAAAAGTTTCAAAAGAAAGAAAGGTAAAAATGGGTAATAAAAATAATTGAAGGGTGCAGATATGTCCTGGACACCCATTCCTGGCTGAGACTTCAGGGCAGTCTCGGAGTGGGCCAGTTCCTGCCCCCAAAAAGCCCCATAGCTGCTCCCACACCCCAAGATTCCACTTTGCCTCACGCCCGACTGCCCAGTGAAATATTCTGGATTTTCTGGAGTGCCATCTCCAAAATCTAGAACTTTGACATCCCTGCACAAGTATGCCAGATTGGATGGGAATGCAACGCAGAAGCCAACTCATCTCGACGAACAAAAACACAAACACAGAAGCTTAGCTTGGAACAGCAGCTCAGGACACAAACATTTTCACAGCTCTTCTTCTATGAAATATTAATCCGTTAGCCATTTAATGGTAACAAGCGATATAAAATAAATGACCGTGGGCCTGCCACGGGGGCAGATTTGAGGGGAGGTTGGGAAAATGCAGACTGTGGTGGAGGGTAGGTGACCGTGGGGGTGGGACTGGGGTGGGAACGGTGAATGCCTGGAACAAACCTTTGTAAACTTCAGTGTTTAAATAAAACGCGGGAGAAAGAAAAAAATAACTGAAAATAATGATGCGAACAACATACTTATTACCCAGCTGAGAATATAAGAACAAAAAGATTGTGCTGTTTTCATTTTAACACTGTTTTATGTGGCATAGAAGCTATTCCCGACTTGGTTTCTCCTCTGTACCATTTGGGAAAGCCAGGATTGTTTTTTTTTTATATATATATATAATTTTTTTTTAATTAATGAAACACCATAAGGTGCAAACTTTTGTGCTTGCGTCCCAATTACACAATGATCAAGGAAGTACCCATCCCTCCACCAGTGCCCATTCGCCACCACCAATGATCCCAGTATCCTTCTCTGCATGCACTTAAACTGCATCTCCACCTAATAACCACCCTATCCCTCCACACACCCCCCTCCCCCGCCCCCCTTCAGCCTCCAGGTAGCCTTTAGGAAGACACTCAAGCAGGCGCCATCCTCAGGAAGGGGACTGAATTGCGGGCCAGGGGAGAAAACCACGGACCAAAATAACAGTAGGTTGCATCCACCAGATGCACTGATGTGCACGGGACTCAGTATTCAAGGCTGTCTTTCAAAGACAGGGAGAAAAGGGAAAACAATTTCACTAACGGCATCAACAAATCTGTAAGAGAATTGGAACATTGGCTTAGTTTCAATCCTTCCAGAATCCACCCCCACCCCCACCCACCTTCTTGGACCTGTCCTCAAATTTTCCCTCATCAAGAACATTTCATAGACTTTGGCTCTCTGGACACTGGCAGTTTTGTTTATAAAGGGGATCTTCTATAAGTTCAGGGGTCTTTTTAAAATTAAAAAATGTTCCCTGTAGGGCTGGAGTGATAGCACAGTGGGTTGGGCGTTTGCCTTGGCCGGCCAGGGTTCGATTCCCAGCATCCCATATGGTCCCGAGAGCACCACCGGGAGTACTTCCTAAGTGCAGAGCTAGAGCTAGGAGTAGCCCCTGTGCATTGCGGGGTGTGACCCAAAAAGCCAAAAAAAAAATTCCGTTTTGGGTTAATCTCTTGTTTTCTCACACTTTGATTCATGTTATACATTCCAACCTGGAATACGACCTGAACAATACACACATCTTGAAAATAATAAAATAAAAGAATTATCTCAGTCCCAGGAAGCATATAATGTGTTGAATGATATTTTATTGCAAAATAATAGCATGTTGCCTATGAAAACTTTGCTCCAAAATGGAACTACAAAATACTAAACCTAGGACTCAGTGGAATCATATTATTAATCAGAATGTCAAAATAGCTAAGATCTTAAGCTCTACCTAGAGAACCAGTCTTACTTTATAGAAAGAATTTGAGTCTCATATTGAGACCCTAAAGAATAAGTCTATATTCCTTCATTCCTCCCATCTTATCTCTGCTGAAAACTGTCCTTCCTTTCCAAAGTTAGTTTTCTTAGCTTTTATCTATATCATTCTCTCTAAGAACTCCTTCCCCAGGAACTACAAGCCTCACCTATCCCGAGAAATATCTTTCTTGGGATTTGTGATCTCTTCTCTTCTTTAATTCTTGGCATTTGATCCTCCTCCTCCTCCTCCTCCTCCTCCTCCTCCTCCTCCTCCTTCTTCTCCTTCTTGTAATCTAGACTTGTCTTTCCTCCTATACTTAGTTTATTGTGTCTCCATTTTTATTTTCTTACCCCTGAGCTGGGACTGAAATAGCACTCCATACGATATGCTATTTCTTATTTTCATAACTTCTCGGTCTCTCAGAGAGACTGCATTCACCCCATGCCTTGATGCTTCTCCTCCTCCTTAGCATTGCCACCATCCAGTCATTTTCAGCCCCCAGTGTTGTGACGATTTACCTGACCACACAGTCTTATGGCTCCATGTATATCTAATCAAATATTCAGAAGCAATCTGGCTCAGGGCATTTGATTTCTCATGGAAATATGAGCTTGTGCCTTCAC